AACTGTCGCTCTCCGTGAGATCAGGAGATACCAAAAGAGCACCGAGTTGCTCATTAGGAAACTCCCTTTCCAGCGCTTAGTGCGTGAAATTGCTCAGGATTTCAAGACCGACCTGCGTTTCCAGAGTTCCGCCGTCATGGCCCTCCAGGAAGCCAGTGAGGCCTACCTTGTCGGACTCTTCGAGGACACCAACTTGTGTGCTATCCACGCCAAGAGAGTGACCATTATGCCCAAGGACATCCAGCTTGCCAGACGTATCCGTGGCGAACGAGCTTAAATCCTATTCTTATCTTAGACAAACACAAACGGCCGTTTTCACGGCCACCAAATTTTTTTAGAATAGATGCCTTCATGGTACAGCTTCCAGAAACGTAAACTCAGAACACATTTCACTTATAGGACTGATTGATATTTATAGACACTTCAAATAATAATTAATGAGCGAAATCACAAATACACGTGCAAGTCAAGAATCAAAAGTTACAACACTTGTGTACATGTATCCAAATTCCCATGACATTGAATATGGAGAAAAACCCGTGCAGCACGAGCTGCATATATTCAGCTCGTGTGCCATGTTTACAAATATCAGTTACACACAAAAACGCTGCGTGCATGGTTATGAGTAATTTTTTACTTTCTCATCCCCCCCCCCCTCGAATAAACAATATTTTTCTTTTTATTATTTATGATGATTATCATTCATTTATATTTCTTTTTACACTACGATGACATGTCATGAGAAAAGAAATAGAAAAATAATCAAGGAGGCCTAACACTAACGCGTACTGGTCACTAGGGTGCTTTAATCGATGTGTTTCTATATAACCTAAAAAAATATTTGATGATTTAATCATTTATTTCTATCCATGGCCTATCTTATTTCAAGAGGGGTGCCTCTGTGTGAATATATAAATTTATATGAACATTAGGAGACACTTCGATGCGTACGACATATCGTATAAAGATCTATTGATGTACGTCTATATTACACATAAAATGGTTAATGCAACAAACAATTTTTTTCCCTGAAAATGTGCCAAAGATCCCCCCTCTTAAATTGATTTCGCCCAAGATTCAGACTGCTAATTAAATGATTACCCCCCCCCCCCAAATGATTTCGCCAAACATGTTGCAATACAATAACACATAGCATAATTAATATAAAGAAAAGACAAAGAATTGTACATTCAATCAAATAAAATGTATGTAAGATGGCAAGGGAATATGCAAGCACACCAAGTATAAATAGATTTTTTTTTAAACAACCATATGTGCTTATATTATGACTATTTTTACATCTTGTATTCTACTTTTGGAGCGAAGTTGTTTGATTATTTCTCTTATATTTATTTTCACTTCTCACAATGTACATAACCTATAATGTCCATGGCAAGGAAATATGCAAGCACACCAAGTATAAATAGATTTTTTTAAACAACCATATGTGCTTATATTATGACTATTTTACATCTTGTATTCTACTTTTGGAGCGAAGTTGTTTGATTATTTCTCTTATATTTATTTTCACAATGTACATAACCTATAATGTCCATCTTTGTGTATAATATGTAAAAAGAAATGTAAATACGAGGGTTGTCCGTAAAGTTCGTGGACAAGCTAAAATTTAAATAAAAGTTGCGTCATAGGTATTTATTATTAGCATATTTATAATCCTTTACTATATGTGAATTACAAAATGAAAAATTTTATTCAATTTTAAGTGCATGATTACAATTATGACCTCATTATTAGACTTGGGATGGTGACCCGGAGCACAACAAAGTTTCAATTAAAAAGTTATTTATCACTTTATACATTTCATTTATATTCTGTAAAATTTCGCGGAAATTTGGATTGTTTTTACATTATAAGGTTGACAAAAGATATAACGTCAAAACTGTAAAATTTGAACGTTCAAAGTTTCGAAATGGCAGAGAAATCGAGGTCAGAGTTTATTAAGACAGGATCGTCATTGTTCGAAAGAGGGACGTTTTCAAAAAAGGTGGAGCAGAGAGTAGTGATAAAATTTTGTGTAGACATCGAAAAAACACCAATAGAGACCCATAAATTCCTTAAACAGTCGGGAAATCATAGTATAGTAATCTATTCTTTAGTGTTTAAGTGGCACAGGAGATTTTCGGACGGAAGAGACAGTTTACTAGATGACATGCGTGAAGGAAGACCATCTTTTCGAGATTGTAGTGCTGTAAAAAATGAAGTTCTTAACGTGACTTTGCCGTATTTCCGTACATGAAGTCTTTTTACGCGGACAGAGGTTTGATGATTTACAGGCTCTGCAATAGGAAATGTGTTAAATATTATTTCACGTATGAAACCAGAACAGTTTGTGCACATTTTTGATAACTGGTTGAAGCGACATAAGAGATGTGTTGAGTTATACGGTGACTACGTTAAGAAAACTTAAATGTATTTAGCTGTTGACGTAGAGTAACGTCAAGGATTTTTGTTTTAATGCTCCGGGTTTTTTGTATCTGATAAATTTTAACTATTTGTGCCTTGTTTGTGATTAAAACCTGCACATTAATAAACTGAAACATGAATTTAATGAAAATAATAATTTCAAATATTTTATCAATGTTTGTCAGTAATTATCATTGTTGTCCACGAACTTTACGGACAACCCTCGTAAATGATAAGAAGAATTATAATATTAATCAAAGAAAAATATTGTTTCAATATTCCGAAAAAATAAATATGAGGAAATGAAAAAAAAATAATAATAATATTCATAATCATGCATGCTCGACATTAACAACAGCTTGAGGACACAAAATGTAAACAAAACATGCAAGGCGCGCTGAGCGGGAACCAATCATACCGCAGCTTACTAGTACGCCTTCGGAAGGTGAAAATTGCACTACCGAAGATTTCAAGATACAAGGCTCTCTAGCACGTCGTTGATTGGCGCTATATATATTGCGATCTCGCCGGATTGCCGTATAATCAGCGGCTAATCGACTGAGAGAAACAAGTATGTCTGGACGAGGCAAAGGAGGAAAAGGTCTTGGAAAGGGGGGCGCCAAGCGTCACAGGAAGGTCTTAAGAGACAACATCCAGGGTATCACCAAACCTGCCATCCGCCGTCTTGCACGCAGAGGTGGAGTTAAACGTATCTCTGGGCTCATCTACGAAGAGACCCGTGGTGTCCTTAAAGTTTTCCTTGAGAACGTCATTCGTGATGCTGTCACCTACACAGAGCACGCCAAGAGGAAGACTGTTACAGCCATGGACGTTGTCTATGCCCTGAAGAGACAGGGACGTACCCTGTATGGATTCGGAGGTTAGGTACCCCTAGCATTTGGTGCTTGGCAGCGCAACAAACAAACGGCCGTTTTCACGGCCACCAAAATCTTTAGAAAAGATACCTCTGAGCAGACGTAAAAAGAAACGAATATGTTGTAACATGTATTTATTAATATTATTTGATTATGTATTGTTTAAGCACATGTAGTTTGGAATTGAATTAATTCCTGGACATATCCAAGGATAGTCTTTCCGTACTTGTGCACAGAGAGGCCTAGAGGAGAGCAGAATGAATACAATGTTTATTTGCATAACCAAATGAAAACGGTAGGCCCCTATTGCAAGACTGCATTTTTTCAGTTGTTTATTATCAGAGATCCTGGGTAAAGTGAACAAACATGATTAATAATAGGAATACTTATATGTTTATTCACCAGTCAAGAGCCCCTCTGGGGGAGGGGGCAGATAGAAATATTTCAGTACCGTCACATTTATATCAATATTAAAATATCATAATATGATGCGATATTATATTTGTTAAGAGATGTGACATACCGGTATTTTTAAAAGCATTATCATATATTCATACAAAATACCAATCAAATTCCAGAATAGCTTTCTCTGTAAAGGTGCATCATGTTTCTCTGCAAAACAACACATACACCACATTTATTTTATATTTAATTAATTTTGTGTGTGTGTGTGCGGGGGGGGGGGGGGGGCATCCACAAATGGTATGAATTTGTTATAGCTCTAGTATGTGTTAAAACGTGCTAGGTCTTGGGGAGCAGAATATTTGAATATTAATATTTTTCTCGAATGGATCCTAAATTTTGGACATCAATATCACAGGTTATGAAAAAAATTGCTTATCTTAAAAGTTGTCATGTACACCCTTTGAATTATGTACAGAAAAAGTTCTTTGTTTTCCTTTTCTTTTTCCCAATGTTTATAATATTTCTAAATTTTTTGCTTTCATTTTTTTTTTTAATCGTGTGAAGAAAAGGCGTAACATTTTCCAGTAACTAACCTGCATTGCTTTACTATAAGATGGTTGCAGGACCAAATTTTCCATTGGATGTTGGTCAATGTTATCAAAACATTATCAACATCTAAAACCTTTCTAGAATCCCCAAGTTTGATTGGCACAGCTGATTACAGTACAGAATGGCTACACATAACTAAAAAAAAAAAAAAAATGAATAAAAATGTTTCTGACTACTGGTGCATGCCTTTCAGTATCTGATTCACTATAGATGGCTCTCTTGTATTTAAGTTTGAGAGAGAAAAAAAATGTGACTGTTTTATTGAAGATTGACTATGAGAATTAAAAATACTCCCAGATAATGAAACGAAGACAAGCTTGTTTTCTATAACAGGCATAAACTGTGGTGTTATAATTGCTTCTATGGGGGCCTTGTCTGTTATATTTTGCTTAGTTCTGTCTATGAAATTTATCAATCAAAGCCTGCATAACATTAAACATTCCAAATACTTAAACGGGACAAGCTCATTAATAATGTAAACAAATGAGTTAAAAATCTCTTCTAACACACTTGGGGTAAATTGTTTTCATAGCATTCACCCAGACCTAGCCATTGCAAATGTATTGTAATATATTTCTGTTAACAACTACATTGTTTCTAAACGCTGTAGTGAAGGTATCTTTTCGAAAAATTTGGGTGGCCCTGATAAGGGCCGTTTTGCTTTTGCTAGAATGCCAAGTTTGCAGTTTATTTGCTGCTGGTGTACTTGGTGACGGCCTTGGTTCCCTCAGATACAGCATGCTTGGCCAGTTCACCTGGCAGAAGGAGACGGACAGCTGTCTGGATCTCTCTGCTGGTGATGGTAGAACGCTTGTTGTAGTGAGCAAGACGGGAGGCCTCGGCAGCGATTCTTTCAAAGATGTCGTTGACGAAAGAGTTCATAATGCTCATGGCCTTGCTGGAAACACCAGTGTCTGGGTGGACCTGTTTCAGCACCTTGTAGATGTAAATGGCGTAGGATTCCCTCCTCTTCCTGCGCTTTTTCTTATCTCCAGTTCTCTGGGCCTTGGCCTTGGTGACTGCTTTCTTGGCTCCTTTAGATCCGACTTTGGGTGGCATGTTTACAGGTTGTAGATAATCTGAAAACTATGGTTGTCGTTTCTCGCCTCGCTGCTTTTATATCGCGCAGGCGGATAACGGTGGAGCGCATTACGGACCCCCGAGAAAACATCTGTTCTTCGGCGAGCGACAAAGTGTGTAGAATACGATCGTGACGATTGGCTGGACAGTTCAATCCGCCTGCGTCTTTAAATAGGGTCGCGAAGGCTGTTACGAGTAATTCGTTGATTTCATTTCTTGAGCGTCAACTACTCGCAACAGATCAAAGATGTCAGGACGTGGTAAAGGAGGCAAAGTGAAGGGAAAGGCCAAGAGCCGATCATCCCGTGCCGGACTTCAGTTTCCCCGTGGGTCGTATCCACCGTCTGTTGAGGAAGGGCAACTACGCCGAGAGAGTGGGAGCCGGCGCCCCGGTGTACCTTGCCGCCGTTCTTGAATACTTGGCCGCCGAAGTGTTGGAACTGGCAGGCAACGCCGCCCGCGACAACAAGAAGACCAGAATCATCCCCCGTCATCTGCAGCTGGCCATCCGCAACGACGAGGAATTGAACAAACTCCTGTCCGGCGTGACCATCGCCCAGGGTGGAGTCCTGTCCAACATCCAGGCCGTGCTCCTCCCCAAGAAGACCCAGAAATCAGCCAGCAAGTAAAAAGTCTGTACGACTTTTATATGCCAAACGGCCGTTTTCACGGCCACCCAAATTTTTCGAAAAGATGCCTATAAGATCAGACGCAAAGAAACGAAAGTTATAAAATACTTAATTTTTTGGAACAATATAAATGAGTTAACATGCACACAAAAAATATATATACAGCACTGCATATTGCATTTTACTACAAATTTCACATAGAATTAAAATAATGGGTATATAACGCCCGAATTCGAAAAGAAATAGACCAGCAGTACAGATGAACAAAACACATGTACACTATATTTACAAGTTTATTTTATATATATTAATTGATTATTTATTAACACTTGTGAATCATAATCATCTTATCCGGGATCCCCTGCCCCCCATTGCTAAATTGTTGAAATGGAAAGAACTCTGGATAGAGTGAAAATAAACCAGTTTCAGAGAACCTGTAGCCCTCAAATTTAGTTGTGTGAAATTTAGGACTGAATAGAAATTTCAGTTTGTTACAGATCAAACACATTACCATCCAATAAATGTTGTCCTTTAAAAAAGTAATTAGAATCATCCTGAGTGTTAACTTGATTTCAAAGGAGATCGGTCGTATTTTTATTATATATATACAGTTTTCGCTGCATGTAACTTTGTTAATACATCGTTTTTTTATCTCTATATTTTTTCGCCCAAATTCAGTCGAGTTGCTGGATACAATAAAATATGAATCATTGATAGTTTCTGTTCAATGATTTGCATTCCATATAGCTGCTGCATGTATTAAATGTCGACAGATATGCATGATATATGCCTGATAACGTAGTTCACAATTTTATGCATTATTTTGTAGAAGACAGAAAATACATATTTTTCTTATTATACATACGCGACATACATACTTATAAACACATTTTCAACAAAGATTTATAAACAAGGTTTAAGGGTTTCATGGCAGTAGAATCTTATTAAATCGTGAAAAAAAAAAAAAAAAATCGGTTATTGTTTTACATTTTTCATATCTTTGAAACGCGATTGATTTAAACTGTGTAATTTACAGCAAATTTCTATCTTTATATAAAGTAATGAAACAAATAGAAAGATCGTTTTGATTTTGGTTATCTGAATTTATCAACAAGACACTATGTATACCTCTAAGATGGTGCAATTTAATTGAATTTGGACGTTTATTAGATGTAAATAATAATTTCATTTTCCTTTCTTTTCTTTTATTTTCCTTGCCCTTTCGTCATATGTATGCCTACTGCACCTGGGAAATAAGAAATACGAAAACTTTACAATAATAAAAAAAAAATCATGATTAAGAAAAAAAAAATCTCAATGTCATTATTTCCATTCTGTCCGGCGCTCGTCTACTGCCATTTAAGGAACGTTTGACACACACAGTCTCTGTTGATTTCTCACAGTTTGAGAGCGGATTGATGATGTCCGTAGGACTTGAAGATTCAAATGAAATTCTTAAACGTGTCTACATCTTACTTAAATCATAACTGATATTTGTCGTTTCGAGCACAATTATCAACTTTTATCGTACCTTGAACTTCAGAGACGCGAGTTTAGATGCCTATTTTTCCTGAATTTGAGCACTACACTTAGAAAAATCTAAAAATGTGATCGATAAAATGATAAAGAGGAAACTGGACGTTAGGATTTTAATCGTGTTTTGTGGTAAAGTTCCTCCGCTGAGTTGCAGCGTCGATGCAAATACCCATATTGAAACACACATGCACGAACGGATACATGAAGGTACATCGACCTCGACACATTGGATGTTTTCTCGGGGGTCCGCGCTCATTGTAAACAAAAACGGCAAGTGCGTGTGACCGAGGTATTTCAATGCTTGCAGCTCCTGAGAAGTTACAAACTCGACGACAGGTTTTGTTTTCTTCTCTCGAAGTAACCATGGCCGATACCGTTGCTCCAGCCAAGTCCCCAGCTAAGAAGAAGTCCACAAAGCCAAAGGTGCCCGCTGCACACCCTAAGTACATCGACATGATCAGCGCTGCCGTTGCAGCTCTGAAAGAACGCGGTGGCTCATCCAGACAAGCCATTCTCAAGTACATCATGGCCAACTACAAAGTGGGCAACGATGTTAAGTCTATCAACACCCACTTGAAAATGGCCTTGAAGAGTGGCGTTAAAAAAGGTGCTCTGAAGCAAGCCAAGGGTACAGGCGCCAGTGGCTCCTTCAAACTTGGAGATAAACCCAAGACCGAGAAGAAGCCTAAAGCCAAAAAGGTTGCCAAACCCAAGGCAGCTAAGCCCAAGAAACCTGTCGCCAAGCCCAAGAAGCCTGCCGGAGAGAAGAAGGCCAAGACTCCTAAGAAGAAGGCAGCAGCCAAGAAACCAGCGGCACCCAAAAAGGCCAAGTCTCCGAAGAAGAAGGCAGCACCCAAGTCTCCAAAGAAGGCTGCGGCCAAACCCAAGAAGGCCAAGACCCCCAAGAAAACAGCAGCCAAGAAAACAAAGACTCCCAAGCAGGCAGCCGCCAAGAAATAAGCAGTCTTAGCATCCCTGGCAGAATGTACATCTAATTTAACAAAAAAAAAAGCTCTTTTCAGGGCTACCAAAATTTTAAGAAAAGATACCTCAGTTACAGTCGTTAAAGAAATGTTTCAACATGTATTGCACAGTTATGTCTTATTTCTTGCTCTCTCCCTTTCTCTTAATTTCTAATATCATTTTACAATTTGGCCATGAATAAGAATTAACAAGGATCCTGTTCATGATTTGTGAAGTACGTGAGCAAATGGTAGTAAGAAAGAAAATAATAAGCAAATAAACAAAAGCCCAAAAAAAAAAAATTTTTTTAAGAGTAATTCAAAAGAAAAAAAAACAAAACAAACAAAAAAAAACAGGGGTCAGGAGCTTGGGATGTGTCACGATTGAAATTAATGATGATTAAACAAGAGTATAGCATGTAATGCAGATATGATAGATTTTTATCACACCCTGGTGATGTAATTCTGTTCAAAGTTCTGCTGTTCAGTAGATGTCTGGTACGAGTACTGTGAGACAAATTTTAAAAGCGATGACTGTTAATGCAGATGTTGAACAACCTGTACATGATCACGAGACTCTTGTGATATATATATTGTACAAATCTTCTTACAAAATTCATTTCTTGAATAGGCTTGTTGGCTATGTTTTCAATAACTACCAGGAAATGATGATATCTTTAGAGATTTAAAGTCACGGGAAAAAGAGAAGATAAAAAACACACAGACACACACATAATGAAAACTAGGTCATAAAATGTTCAGTCCATTTATAATTATATTATTCAGTATTAAACACTGATTCTTGGATAAAGTAAAATATTAATATTATGGTCATAGAAGCATTAATTTCACTAAATAGAAAGGATCATGTTCATTAAAACATTTCATGATGATGCATTGGTAGGATCAAACCTACTTTTGTGCTCTGTGGGACATGCAAGTAATTCAACAACTTTAAATAAATGGAAAACAAACAAAAAAATCATTCGTCGAAATTGAAGAGAAAAATACATTTAAAACTAAAGTAGTAAATCTTTCATTTCTATTATTTTGATTCTATTTATTATTCAAGTTGCACATCTCATCCAGTGGGTTCTTTTTCAAATGTTGAAATAGAGACAAAATACATTGATTTCATCAAGTACAAAATCTGTGCAAAATGTGGATCGAAATGATTTTTACTGAGACCAATCGAAGTACGCTGTGTGCAACTAATCACAAGGCGTCTTATTCAACACAACAACCAATCGAAAACATCCTTACTTAATGCGCGGTGATTTCAAAGGATGATCGGATCCACGGGCTATAGAACCGTATAAAACTTTACTTGAAACGCCGATTTAGTCATTCATTTGATCTGAACTGAGAGAAGATGGCACGTACCAAGCAGACTGCAAGAAAATCTACTGGAGGCAAGGCCCCACGAAAACAGCTGGCCACCAAGGCAGCTCGTAAGAGTGCACCAGCCACCGGTGGCGTTAAGAAGCCCCACAGATACAGGCCAGGAACTGTCGCTCTCCGTGAGATCAGGAGATACCAAAAGAGCACCGAGTTGCTCATTAGGAAACTCCCTTTCCAGCGCTTAGTGCGTGAAATTGCTCAGGATTTCAAGACCGACCTGCGTTTCCAGAGTTCCGCCGTCATGGCCCTCCAGGAAGCCAGTGAGGCCTACCTTGTCGGACTCTTCGAGGACACCAACTTGTGTGCTATCCACGCCAAGAGAGTGACCATTATGCCCAAGGACATCCAGCTTGCCAGACGTATCCGTGGCGAACGAGCTTAAATCCTATTCTTATCTTAGACAAACACAAACGGCCGTTTTCACGGCCACCAAATTTTTTTAGAATAGATGCCTTCATGGTACAGCTTCCAGAAACGTAAACTCAGAACACATTTCACTTATAGGACTGATTGATATTTATAGACACTTCAAATAATAATTAATGAGCGAAATCACAAATACACGTGCAAGTCAAGAATCAAAAGTTACAACACTTGTGTACATGTATCCAAATTCCCATGACATTGAATATGGAGAAAAACCCGTGCAGCACGAGCTGCATATATTCAGCTCGTGTGCCATGTTTACAAATATCAGTTACACACAAAAACGCTGCGTGCATGGTTATGAGTAATTTTTTACTTTCTCATCCCCCCCCCCCTCGAATAAACAATATTTTTCTTTTTATTATTTATGATGATTATCATTCATTTATATTTCTTTTTACACTACGATGACATGTCATGAGAAAAGAAATAGAAAAATAATCAAGGAGGCCTAACACTAACGCGTACTGGTCACTAGGGTGCTTTAATCGATGTGTTTCTATATAACCTAAAAAAATATTTGATGATTTAATCATTTATTTCTATCCATGGCCTATCTTATTTCAAGAGGGGTGCCTCTGTGTGAATATATAAATTTATATGAACATTAGGAGACACTTCGATGCGTACGACATATCGTATAAAGATCTATTGATGTACGTCTATATTACACATAAAATGGTTAATGCAACAAACAATTTTTTTCCCTGAAAATGTGCCAAAGATCCCCCCTCTTAAATTGATTTCGCCCAAGATTCAGACTGCTAATTAAATGATTACCCCCCCCCCCCAAATGATTTCGCCAAACATGTTGCAATACAATAACACATAGCATAATTAATATAAAGAAAAGACAAAGAATTGTACATTCAATCAAATAAAATGTATGTAAGATGGCAAGGGAATATGCAAGCACACCAAGTATAAATAGATTTTTTTTTAAACAACCATATGTGCTTATATTATGACTATTTTTACATCTTGTATTCTACTTTTGGAGCGAAGTTGTTTGATTATTTCTCTTATATTTATTTTCACAATGTACATAACCTATAATGTCCATCTTTGTGTATAATATGTAAAAAGAAATGTAAATACGAGGGTTGTCCGTAAAGTTCGTGGACAAGCTAAAATTTAAATAAAAGTTGCGTCATAGGTATTTATTATTAGCATATTTATAATCCTTTACTATATGTGAATTACAAAATGAAAAATTTTATTCAATTTTAAGTGCATGATTACAATTATGACCTCATTATTAGACTTGGGATGGTGACCCGGAGCACAACAAAGTTTCAATTAAAAAGTTATTTATCACTTTATACATTTCATTTATATTCTGTAAAATTTCGCGGAAATTTGGATTGTTTTTACATTATAAGGTTGACAAAAGATATAACGTCAAAACTGTAAAATTTGAACGTTCAAAGTTTCGAAATGGCAGAGAAATCGAGGTCAGAGTTTATTAAGACAGGATCGTCATTGTTCGAAAGAGGGACGTTTTCAAAAAAGGTGGAGCAGAGAGTAGTGATAAAATTTTGTGTAGACATCGAAAAAACACCAATAGAGACCCATAAATTCCTTAAACAGTCGGGTAATCATAGTATAGTAATCTATTCTTTAGTGTTTAAGTGGCACAGGAGATTTTCGGACGGAAGAGACAGTTTACTAGATGACATGCGTGAAGGAAGACCATCTTTTCGAGATTGTAGTGCTGTAAAAAATGAAGTTCTTAACGTGACTTTGCCGTATTTCCGTACATGAAGTCTTTTTACGCGGACAGAGGTTTGATGATTTACAGGCTCTGCAATAGGAAATGTGTTAAATATTATTTCACGTATGAAACCAGAACAGTTTGTGCACATTTTTGATAACTGGTTGAAGCGACATAAGAGATGTGTTGAGTTATACGGTGACTACGTTAAGAAAACTTAAATGTATTTAGCTGTTGACGTAGAGTAACGTCAAGGATTTTTGTTTTAATGCTCCGGGTTTTTTGTATCTGATAAATTTTAACTATTTGTGCCTTGTTTGTGATTAAAACCTGCACATTAATAAACTGAAACATGAATTTAATGAAAATAATAATTTCAAATATTTTATCAATGTTTGTCAGTAATTATCATTGTTGTCCACGAACTTTACGGACAACCCTCGTAAATGATAAGAAGAATTATAATATTAATCAAAGAAAAATATTGTTTCAATATTCCGAAAAAATAAATATGAGGAAATGAAAAAAAATAATAATAATATTCATAATCATGCATGCTCGACATTAACAACAGCTTGAGGACACAAAATGTAAACAAAACATGCAAGGCGCGCTGAGCGGGAACCAATCATACCGCAGCTTACTAGTACGCCTTCGGAAGGTGAAAATTGCACTACCGAAGATTTCAAGATACAAGGCTCTCTAGCACGTCGTTGATTGGCGCTATATATATTGCGATCTCGCCGGATTGCCGTATAATCAGCGGCTAATCGACTGAGAGAAACAAGTATGTCTGGACGAGGCAAAGGAGGAAAAGGTCTTGGAAAGGGGGGCGCCAAGCGTCACAGGAAGGTCTTAAGAGACAACATCCAGGGTATCACCAAACCTGCCATCCGCCGTCTTGCACGCAGAGGTGGAGTTAAACGTATCTCTGGGCTCATCTACGAAGAGACCCGTGGTGTCCTTAAAGTTTTCCTTGAGAACGTCATTCGTGATGCTGTCACCTACACAGAGCACGCCAAGAGGAAGACTGTTACAGCCATGGACGTTGTCTATGCCCTGAAGAGACAGGGACGTACCCTGTATGGATTCGGAGGTTAGGTACCCCTAGCATTTGGTGCTTGGCAGCGCAACAAACAAACGGCCGTTTTCACGGCCACCAAAATCTTTAGAAAAGATACCTCTGAGCAGACGTAAAAAGAAACGAATATGTTGTAACATGTATTTATTAATATTATTTGATTATGTATTGTTTAAGCACATGTAGTTTGGAATTGAATTAATTCCTGGACATATCCAAGGATAGTCTTTCCGTACTTGTGCACAGAGAGGCCTAGAGGAGAGCAGAATGAATACAATGTTTATTTGCATAACCAAATGAAAACGGTAGGCCCCTATTGCAAGACTGCATTTTTTCAGTTGTTTATTATCAGAGATCCTGGGTAAAGTGAACAAACATGATTAATAATAGGAATACTTATATGTTTATTCACCAGTCAAGAGCCCCTCTGGGGGAGGGGGCAGATAGAAATATTTCAGTACCGTCACATTTATATCAATATTAAAATATCATAATATGATGCGATATTATATTTGTTAAGA